CCGCCGCAGGCGGGCCCAGCGATGCCGCAGGCGCCGCGGCTGCGGCGGCCTGCGGGCTTGACGCGTTGCGCGCAGCCCTCGCAACCGGGCGCGACGGCCGCGCGGGCGGGCTTTGGGCGCAGCAGCCGGCGGCGCTCGCGGTGCTGCTGCCCGCGGTGTTTGAGCTCTCTTGGGGCCACCCCGGCGAGCGCGAGGCTGCGGCGGCGGCCGAGGACGAGGCGTTGAGCGTGTGGGCGGCCGAGGGCGGCGCGAGCAGCAGCGACAGCAGCAGCGGCGACGACGACAGCGGCGCCGGCAGCGGGGACGAGGCCACCTCTGATGGCAGTGGGGAGGGAAGCAGCGACGCCGGCGGCGGCGAGGGCGGCGGGGCGGGCGGCAGCGCCGACGAGGGCGAGAGCGGACCGGTCGCGGCCGCACGTGCGGCCGCGGCGCGGCTCTGGGATGGCGGGGAGCTGCTGGCAGTTGCGCTGGAATGCAGCACGGCTCCGGAGCTCGAGCAGGCCACGGGCGGTGCCGCCGACCGAGTCGTGGATGGTGTTCAAGGCGCGTGCGCGTCCGCGGCGGCGGGCGGCGGCGCCGCGGCCGGCGCAGGGAGCATCTGGGCGCACCGCGCGGCTGCGGCGGCGCGCGGCCTGCGCGGGCGCCCGCACCTGCGCGCGGCGCTGCTCGAGCGCGCGCTGTCCGCGGCGCCGGGCTGGCAGGCGTGGTGTACGCCACGCGGCGCCGGGGGCAGCGGCGGCAGCGGCGGCGGCAGCGCGCTGATGACAGAGGTGGCCGCCGCCCTCGTTCTGAGGGTCGGCCCGGCTGAGGCGCTGTCCGCGTCGCAGCAGCTGGCGGCCGCAGCGGCCGCGCCATCGCCGGGCAGCGCGGGCCCTGAGCGCGCACTGTGGCTCCTGGGGGAACTTCTCTGTGCCCAAGAGGCAGCCAGCACGGGCGCCAGCGGCGGGGCGGCGGCAGCGGCAGCTTCCAAGTTGGCGGATGCTGCGTCCCTCCTGCTGCGCCGCGCGTTGACGGACGCCTCCGACGGCGCCGCGGCTGACGAGGCGCTCGCGGGCCTGCTGCGCACGCTGTGGCGCGGCGCGGCGTCAGCCGACGGCGCAAGCGGCGGCGTCAACGTGCACGCGGCCGCGCTGATCCGCGTGCTGCGCGCCGCCGCCGCGCCCGCGCTGCTGCCGCTGCTCGCGTCGTTCTGCTCGCAGCAGCTGCTGCCCTCCGCGTCGCAGGCGGGCGGCCTCGCGCCGGCGGCGGCGGCGGCGCTCGAGGCCGTCGTGGGCGCGCTCGCGCCCGCGCTGCGGCGCGGGGGCGAGGGCGCCGTCTCTGCCTCGGGTCTTGACGCGATGGCGGTCGCCGTCTGCCGCCAAGCCGTCGACGCCGGCGCCGGCGCCGGCGGCTCGGGCGGGGGCGAATATGGGGCGCCCGGCGCGCGGAGGCTGCGGCTGCTGCGCCTGGCGGTCGCGCACTTCCCGGTCGAGCTGGCTGGCGAAGGCGGGGCGGCCGCGGCGGCGGCGCCGCTCGTCGGAGCCAGCACTGCCAACGAGCGCGCTGCCCTGATGGCGCTGCTGCGCCACGCCAGCAGCGGCGCGGGCGGCGGCGGCGAGGACGGGGAGGAGGGTGAGGCCGAAGAGCGCGAGCGGCTCGCGTCGGCGCTGCAGCTGCGGGGCGTGTGCTACGGCTGGGGCGACATGGCGGCCGCGGAGTGGCACGCGGTGTTGCGGGACGTCCAGCGCCACGTCGGCGCCGCGCGCCAGGAGGCGCAGCGCGCGGCGGGGCGGCTCGCGGCGGCCGCGTGCGGCGCGGCGGCGGCGCTGCTGGAGGGTGCCGACGGCGGCGGCGGCGGTGGCGGCGTGATTGCGCCCGCGACCGCGGTGCAGCTGCTATTGAAGCTCTCGGGCAAGGGGCTGCTCCGCCGCCACGCGGCCTACGAGCAGCTTCTCGGCAGCTTCCAGCAGGTCCTCGGCGGCGCCAGCCTCGGCGTGTGCTGGCTGCCGAGCCTGCAGCTGCTGGGCGCGGTGCTGCGGCTGCAGCCGGAGATCCAAACGCGCGGCCGCGCGCCGCAGCTGCAGCTCGCGCTCGGCGCCGCGCAGGCGGAGCTTTACGCCCTAGTCATGGCGCTCGGCGCGGCGCTCGCGGTCGCGTCCGCCGCCGGCGCGGCCGCGGCCGCGCCCGTGCTGTCGTGGCTCGACGCGCGCGCGGCAGCCGGCGAGTGGCGGCTGTTGGCCGGGTGCCTCGAGGGCGCGGGCGAGGAGGCGGCGGCGCAGGCGCTCGGCGCCGCGGACGCGCGGTGCGAGATGGTGGGGTTCGACTCGGTCGGCTGCCTGCTGGCGTTGCTGTACTGCCCCGCGGCGTCCGTCGCCGCGGCGACGCACCACCACCACCACCATCACCATCATGCCGGCTGCGGCCGCCACCATCAAGCGCACCACAAACAGCAGCAGCAGCAGCAGCAGCAGCGCGCCGGCCACGGCGCCGGCGTCACAAGCGGCGGCGCGGCGCCGCCGGGCGCGGGCTGCGCGGCGCTCGAGGCTGTCGCGTGGCGGCTCGCGCTGCAGCCCCAGGCGCTTTCGTTGGTCACTTACGTCGAGTCAGCTGCCGACGACGCCGGCGAGGGCGGCGCGCCCGAATTTGACGATGTGGATGCTGTCGCGTTTCTGACAGAGGTGGGGCTGCGGCCAGAGATGGCGGCGGCGCTCTGCGCCTTTGCGCGCCCACAGCAGCAGCAGCCGCAGCGCAGCGGCGGCGGCAGCGGCGGCGGCGCCGCGTGGCAGGCCGCGCTGCCGCAGTGGGCGCTGCTGCTCGCGCACCTGCTGTCGCTGCCGCCGCGCGGCGACGCGGCGCGGCGGCTGGCGCAGGCGCTGCGGGACGTGCCTGACCTGGTGCCAGCGCTGCTGGACCGACTCGCAGCCGTCATGGGCTTGGGCAGCAAGGGCGGCGCCGGCGGCGCTGCCGGCGGCGGCGGCAGCAGCGG